CACGTATATTCTACGTATCTGATTGACGACTAGCCTTAATCGAAAGTTCTCTCTCGTGATCGGAAGAGGTAATTAACTATAGGGGCTCGCGCCTATAGGAAACCAGAACTCAGATCATAAAGTCCTCACCAAATGAGGGCGAAATCTCTGGGTAGTGTCTTATCTACAAACTCATCTGCCTTCCAAAATTTACCTCGAAACTTATTCAGTTAAAACTCTCTCGCCGAATAAAAGAAAAGCGGGGAGGCCGGGGCCGAATTTTCGGAGCCCACATCTACTCTACTTAGTTACACTTTTATTTTCACTCTTTTTGTGATAACAAAAAGGTGAGCATAAAAAAAGTGAGGAGAGTTATGTTGGTTCAAATATTTGATTTTTTATTAGATCAATGTTTGTATTGTTGTGTTTTTCTGTATTATTTAAAACTAAATTAAAAAAAAATAAAAATTTAGATGTTTTCTCAATTATTTTTAAAGAAATCATTTAATGAGAAGAAAAATTAAGCGGGGAATTAACAATCAACTTGCAAATTTAAATCTCAACCAAAAATATGTCTTAACTAAAAAAAGAGGGAGATTATTTAAATCCAAGAACCCGACATAGTGTTTTAATGATTACAAATATTATTAATGTGATCATTTACTTGTTCCTGCTTTATATATATTACTTATTTTTTATGTGTTACTAATCATTTAAGATATGATATATACTGAGCTGGATTAATGAAACAAGTTTAAGATAGTGCAGTGTTATGGTCTAGTCAATTTGTAATAAAAGAGTTTGTACTTTTTCTTTTCTTGAGTTATTTATGTAATCAGGTGCATATTGGCAAGACAACCGATCACAATAAAGGGGGGATGAAAATTGAATACTTGAATTTTTGGTTAAAATGTATTGTATGATTATTAATCTTGAAATTAATTTTAGTATTTAAATAAATCAAATAAAATAAATTAAATTATAACTAATCATATTGTATTATATATGACAATCAACTATTTTGATAAACTCTGCTGTCGAATATATATTATCAAAATTAGGAAAATTTGAAATTTGAACTGATCGGACTATACAAAAGATTTCGTACTATACTATGAATGTTATCTAATTTTGTCCTGTAGATTAAGAAATCAAATTATGATCAAATTCTATATTATTATTGTGCTATACTATTCAAATTGTACCATTTTGATTTACTCGAGATATCATTGGCCAAATCTTGGTTCATCTTGGACAATGCTTTATTCGATATTACTTATTGTGTAGTATAAATGAATATCGTACAAGACTATTTGTGATGGAAATTAAATTAATTAGACAGTGCGATCCTAGTATACTATTATATGATAGAAGCATTAAATTGAAAATTAGGGTTTATTTAAAGAACCCACTTTAAATATTTCACACAAGAACTGAGGGATTGTGTTGAGTAATTTGAGACTTTTTTTTGGATGAAGGAGCTTTAGAGAGGGAGAAGTGCCTTCTTGCTTGTAAGAGAGTCCAAACCACTTGGGAGAGAGAGAGGAGGTGAGGCTGATGGAGAGTTTATTTAAGGGATTCAAGGGGTGTAAGGGAGTCACATGGTTCTTCCTGTCGCTCTGCACCTTAGGTCCTTGTTGTGGTTGTGGAGCTCTTGGAGAAAAGCTCTAAGAAAAAGTCATATGGAAAAAGTTTTTATTAGCTGAGGAGGCTAGGGGATTGGCCTCTACTGTTACGAGGAGCGAAAGGAGGAAGCAACATCTTTGTTGTGCGAAGAGTAGAAAGAGAGATTGGCATCTTTGTCATGTGAGGAGCTGAAGGATGGAGTGACATCTTCGCTATGTTGGGAGATTGAAGGAGGGATACTTTTTGGGTATAGAAGAGTATAAAAATCATTGTCCACTTGGTATGGAAGAAGGGTTTTTTTGCCTGGCTGAGTGCTAAAGGAGGTTGTTATATTGGAATACCAAAAGAGGATGATTTTTGGGGAGTGGACATAGGTCGATTTCAATCAAACTATTATAAAAATATAATTTGTGTTTCCTTTTTTTTATTTTTTAGTTTGTGTTTCCTTTATTTTATTGCATTAACTTTCCTATATTTTGGTTTATATTACATCTCTTTGTGAAATTGTTAAATCTTCGGTTAAACTCAGTGAGTAAACTTGTCTGGCAGGAGTATATACTGACAATCTAATATTATAATATTCAAGGTATGTTATTGGCAATTGTTAAATTTTAGGTGCTAAAACAGTAGAATTCCCTGGTAATAGTTGAAATTTCTTAACCTTTGGTATCTTTGAAAATTCTTGCTCAAGTTTTTGTCCTAATATGATTGACTCAGTGAACAACTATCGCCTTCTGTGGACTGGTGCGGGAGCTCAACTTGCTCGTGATGTGCCTTTTTCTGCCATTTGTTGGTCAACACTTGAGCCGGTGAGTTTATCCTGTATAATTGGTTCACTTTTCTTTTTGGCATGTGGTACGTTTCTATGTGGGTTTTGGAACTTCTATTAATTTCTCAGGATAGATTAGCGGACAAAAGCCTGGTATGGCTTCTTTTTTCCTGTTTTTGTTTATGATGAGATCATCCATTTTTTCAGATTCGCAGGAATTTGCTTGCACTAATAGGCGAGGAAGCAAATGCAGCTAACGTGTTAGGAGCAAACTTCTCAGCAGGTTTTGTTGCAGGCAGCCTTGCTGCTGCTGCTACCTGTCCACTTGATGTTGCCAAAACTCGAAGACAAATAGAGGTGTATCCTTCTGACTTTTTCTATACTCATTCATCACATGGTTTTACACTTCTTTTCAAATGATGATTCTTAGTATTTGAGTGTTTCCTTGTGTGATGACAAGGATAGCTTTATGTTTTGCCTCCCAAAAGTTTAGTTTTGCTTCTTTGTTTCTGGTCTCTCTCCTCTTCCTCCCCCCCCCCCCCCCCCCCCCTCATTCACCCCCTCCGTTCGTTTTTTTTTTTTTTTTGTGTACCACGCCATATACTTCGAACATATATATGGTTGCAAATCATTTTGTTACTTAGAAAAGTGGATATGCTAGTTGCATGTGTTCATTGTTCACTTCCACTATGAGGTGACTTGGGAGGGTTGATGCAACATCCTTGTTGCCTTGCCAGAATAGAGTCTGTTTCTAGGTTTCAACCAGTGAGAGTTGTATAAAAACGGGGCAAATCCATCGACGTGCAAAGATTGATCTAATTTCACACAGCTATTATCATCTTAATTTGTATTCTATCTTTCCTGATTTTGGATTTCTTTTGCTTCATTTTTAGATTGTCTTGAAAACTTTGACACTTCTTTATTAGTAAAATATATGGAATGCTCTTGCAGAAAGATCCATCGAAGGCACTAAGAATGACTACGAGGCAAACATTGGCTGAAGTTTGGAGGTACTGTTCTTTCTTGCTGCTCTTATCAAGATCTTTATACCTTTTTTCTTATCCGTTATACGCGGTAGTCATTTTAAAAAATTCTCTCTAGCATAATTCTTGGTTTCGTAAGTATAGACTTTTGTGTATTGAATAAACTATTTGCCTATATGATCGGAAGCTCTATGTAATGATTCTTTGCAGAGATGGAGGGGCAAAAGGGCTCTTTACAGGTGTCGGTCCTCGGGTGGCCCGTGCAGGCCCTTCTGTTGGAATTGTAGTTTCCTTCTATGAGGTTGTGAAATATTTCTTACATCAAAGTCATTCTAGTGATTGAAGAAAACAACCATTTGCTGTGGACAGCTCTTGAGCCTCGTTCTAGGCTTAGGTTTTATCTTTTTTTTCCGATTTAAAAAGCTTCATCCTCCCATCAATGAGTTTACTTTTTTGGTGAAAGAGGTGGGAGCAGGAATTTGTTCTGTCCAGATTTTACAGCGCGTCATTTTCTCCTTTCAAGAGCCTGCTTGTGGGAAACAGACAATAGGCTCTAATATAACTGATGATACCACACTCAGTGCACTGAGTGCCAGTTTTGCAAGAATAAATATGCAAGTAATTATACAGTTTGAACGTGGAACTGCAGTGGAGATGTTTCATATAATTTCCTCCTTTGAAGGGTAAAAATGCTAATTTGAGTTTATTTAGGTTTTGATAGTCTTTATAACAAAGCTCTGAAGTGTTTTTTCCTTATGTTTCTCTTGTTGCTCTGTTGCAACTCTTGAATTTTTTAACAATTGAAGCTGTTTATGGAACCTATGGTGCCTGCTGTAGCCTGTGGGGCTTGCTAACCTTGCCCTTTTAATGTTTACTAATGATTATATTGGCAGGAGAGCTATTTTTTTAAGAAATTGTTACCCTTGTCATCTATGTAAAGCTGTGTAAATTGGAGAATCATTCGGTAGATACTAAACATTTAAAATCCAAATAATCAAAATTGGTTTATGCATTATCGGTATTTAGCTTATTGAAATATGGATGCAATAATTAAAAAAATAATAAAAGAATTGTCATGAAGTCATTATAAAAGTAATACGAAAAAGTAGTGTATTTTTGTAAGTATATAACTTTTAAGATAATTATAATATTTTAATTTAATTGCTTGTAAAAAATTACAGCTAATTATAAAAATTCTTGGAAAGTAACAAAAGTTTAGCTAAATATAATCTCGTAGTTGTCTTATATAACTTATAAATGCTCACCTAAGGTTTTACATGCCTTGTAATCTCTATTGTATCACTTGTCTTTGCTGTGCATAACTCATAACATGTTTTTCTTTTTTGGATTTCTCTAGTTTAAAGTGCAACCCCCCTTCCCCTTCAATGAAAGTTAGAGGGATACAGGTCATTTATGTCACACTTCTTGGCTATGCACCACTAATCATCATGCTTTTCCTGTCTTCATTAGACTTTTTTTGAGATAATTTTTTATTACTATTTTTTTTAGCTTCTAAAAAATTTTGATACCATATAGTTGTTTTAGAAAGAAATTAAAAAAATCATTCCAAATGAAATTTTAATTTAAAGGACAGCTCCCTTTCTCATGCGATGGAAGGCAGAGGAATACATGCCATTTATATCATCTCTTTTACCACCTATTCTCTTCTTTGATATTACCAAAAAAGTATTACAAGACATTTCAGTACTCAATTGAACAAAGGATCCTCTTTTTGGTCTATGGTTAAAATATTCTATTTGATTTTATTGTTCCTAAGGCCTTTAAATTTATCATGATTGCACCTTTAAATGAGATGGGCATAAAAGATGTTATCCTTAGTATTAAGAAGGATAAATAAATGCCTTGGTCCTACTGGTTTACTTCTCAATTTTATTTTTGAACATTAGAATTTGGTAGAATATAGGTGACTCTTACGGTAGAATAGTTTTTTTTTTTTCTCAAAATGGTTGCATGCCCAATATGATACAACACAATCTCTAACTCTTATTCCAAAACATCTAAACATGAATTGATTCAATAACTTTAGATACATATCATCATCGTGTAATCGTTTCTATAATATTATAGCCAAACTTATTACAAACCGTCTTAAATTGCTTAGCCAGCTCAAGTAGCATTTCTTTAAATAAGAGGCACTGTGGACATTATCTTCCTAGCATATTAACCTATAAAAAATTTCAACACAAATCTTGGCCCTAAACATTTCTGCAAAAAAATTGACCTTCATAAATCCTTTAATAGTAGTAATAGCTAAGCTATCCTCGATAAATGGGTCTTCTTAGAGTTTTTGTGAAGCTGATAGGTGGCTGAAAAGGTAATATTCTTTTATCTGTCATGTCAATGAGGAGCCTAATGAATTTTTTCTCCTCCACAATTGGGTTAAAGACTAAGATGTCCTTTCTTTCTATTTCTATTTAACATAGCTATGGTTGGATTTCTAATCTTGCGGATGAAGAAACTAGCAAAGGTGTTTTCCCTTGTACCTCAAACAATGATATCATCTATGTCAGCCCTTTTATCTATATAGATGACCACCTTGTATCTGGCCATGGCAATGTTCTCTCTCTTAGCTCCTTAATAATGTTCTCTTCACTTGCTGACATAATGATCTTGTATACAAATCCCTCAAAATCTAAAATTTATTTCTCTAAGGAGGTGGTTGATAAAGGTTTTCTCAATAATATATTGGGTATTAAAATTGGTTACTTACCCATGAAAATTTTTGACGTCTTGCTTGTTAATTGAATTATTGTTCAAGATTGTTAGAACTTTTGGCTAAACTGAACAAATTGCTTGTTGAGTGAAAAGTTAAGTTGCTCTGAATGATTGCAAATTCCAATCGATCTAAACATATATTATGAGTTATTTAGCCTAAAATATCTATGTCAATTTCAAAATATATTTTAAAACACATTAATATGATCCCATTGAGGTTTTTATTTACTGTGTGGTAATATTAAAAGCTTTCACACCATTTCTTGGTATCATACCACTCTTCCGAAAGAAAATTGGGGTATAAATCTCCTATTAGCTTTTACTTAACACTTTATAAAATAAAAACTATTTGGAAAATACTCAATTTGAAGAATTTATAAAGCACTAGGTGCGTCATTTCCTGTAACTCTTATAGAATCAATATAGTGGTTTATTCTCAAACGTGGAAAGATCTTATTCATGCTGCCTCTAAAATGAGAAGTTGGTGAACATTTACAACCAGAAATGGAAAAAGCCTCTCTTTTCTTTGATCCATCTTTGAGAGAGGTCTATGATTGCAATCTTCACCTCTATATGAAGATTTTTGAAAACGTTTAATATAGTTTTCTTCATTCAAAAAATGATCTGACCTCGTTTTAATTACCTGATAGGTAATAATTCTTCTAAGTTTTCTCTTTTGATTATCTCATAAGGGAAGGATAAAATTTTATTGATGATGCAAAAGATTTGAGACATAAGCATGTATGGCTCTGACAAAATTCTTTAAAATGTTCAATTTAAACTTTGGTGGTCGTGATCTCGAAATTGTGGATGTGTTGCTTGAAAGGGGTTTGAAAGTGTGCAACATATGCCTCTTATGTGATGCTGAAAATGAAACTCTCTCTAAAACTTTTTTGTGTTGTTTCAATGTTATGGAGCCAATTAAAAAATTTTATGCCAAATTGGGTAATTTACCTTTTGGAATATTCTTTGCTTCAAATGTTTATGGACTGAAAGATGCATAATCACTTCATAGTTACTCATCTATATTGCATTATTATTAGACTTTGGTGTATCATATTTTGAGAGATGGGAATGGAACACCATAAAGTTGTTGAATCGTAATTTTTAAAATTCAAACACTATGTTGGATAAAAAATTAAAAAAATAAAGTAATGTGATTGTTGGTTGATTGTTTTGAGTTAATCGATGCCTAGAATTATTAATTGTTATGTTCCTTAACTTTATTTTGACATGGCTATTAACTCATTGTGAATTTTCTTAATCTTAGTTGCTTAAAAGGATTTTTTTCTTTGTTTTTTTTTTCTATTTTTGGGCTACTTAACTTTTTTGTAGTGGGCATCAAGCAATAATGATTCATTCCTAAACCTAATTAGGTTGCTCATCCCTACTAATCCTATATTTGATAATATAGTTATAGACTTGATGTCACAACCCAACAAAATAAGACCTATAGATGGAAATGTCCTATTGTGTTGGATTGCAACAACCCAACTCCAAAATCTAAGTTTTTGAAACTATTCAGAATTCTTCCTCCAATTTAAACTTTAAAACAAACAATACTAACAAAGATAAGCAAAATGCAACCTATCTTGAGCCAAACAACTTTCATGATTGGGACAACAATTGAAAATAGGCTGGAGTAGCCCGAAATGGAATTTCACTTTCTAGAAATCATGCTCTCACAAGCCAACACCCTTGATGTAAGAAATGGGATGAAATAGTGGAAAATAATATTTTTAATAAAAAAATTTGGCCTAGCTCCACGATACTTAATTGAGCGAGTGCCACAACACTCCCTTTGGGAGCTAACAATTCTACAGCCACAACCCTAGCACCATTGAACTGAATTAATTTTTAAAATTCTAGAGAGCTTAGTGTCTCAATGATGCCAACAACAACATCACGATGCCCCATGGGGAGAAAATTTAGATTTCTAGAACATATGAATAGAGACCCAAGACACACTTCAGAACTCATGCAGACTATACTATGTATGTAGAATATGCTTAGACACATGTAGAAGAGTTCTAAATGCATAAATTTAGTGGATTACCTCAAACCAGGTTGGATCAGAATATGTACAGTCATAAATTGATTCTGGAGGTGTCACACTCGACACTCAATCACACAATTATTAGACCAAATAATGATCTTCTCTTGTGTGGGATAATTTTCTATGAATACTATTCAATTTTTTTTCATATATAATTCTTAATGTTTTACTTATTTTGTTTCATATCTTAGTTGATTCATAGTTTTTTATTGTGATGAGTTATACAAATATTTGTACTAACTATTTATAATTAGGAAGTGTTTAGAGAAAATATTAGTTCCCAATTTTCTCTTATTACCCATAGAATATTAATTATTAATATTAAACTTTGCTCCAGCTTATGATTTTATAATTTCTAATACCTTATTTAACAAATGAAAAAAACATATCATCACTTATAATAGTGGATATAATAAAACTCAGGTTGATTATTTTCTTATGAGAAAAATAGATCATTTAGATTGCAAAATTATAATATTATTATGAGTGTAAGTTTTTATACCTAGAATTATTTATTTGTTTTGGATGAAGCGATTAAGATGAAGCGATGGAATATGTAAAATAAAGTAAATATTATCCTAAAATTAGATTGGGGCATTTCAAGAATACTAACAAAAATATTTTTGAGGTTAAGATTCAAGATCTTAAGATTTAACGAGTATGAGGAAGCTAATGTTATGTGTAATAAAGTAGCTAGGGAAATTAAGAATGCTGCAAAGGATTTGAAATACCAAAAGAAAAAAACTTTTAATAGTAAAAATATTGGTGGAGGAATCAAAATGTTCAATAAAAGAAAAATAATAACAAAAGTTTCATTATAAAAAATGGTTTTATTATAAAGGCTTACAAAATTGGAAAACATATAAAGGGGCCCATAAGAAATCTTAGAAAGCAATATATGATGCAAATAATTTAATAATTAATAATTTGTTTAATAAATTAGATGACACTACCATTTTGAGGTCCCTTATCTTGGATGAGAAAAGTGGAGGGTTACATTAGATAGTCGACATCTAGTATAAAACTTGTTGAATAATCATTAAATGAATCCTTTAATATATTATATAAATGTTAGGGCTTTCCTTCAAAGAGACACATTATATGGCCTGAATATAGCAACAAGTACTCAAGGCTCGCTG